CATTTATATCTAAATAATTGATGTAATTGATTTAATGGCACAATAATTTATTTGTCAAACTTCTTTTTGACCCTATAATTTATTTTAATACGCCAGTTATATATTTATACATTTATTTCCAATAATGATAGGTTTGGTCCTCCATACCCACTCAGCTGGACTTTGTAGCTGACAAAAACTTAGCCTCTACCTGTTGATGGCTTCACTGTCACAGATGCGGGTCAGGAGGGTGGTCAGCACGACTCCCCAGGGTTTTTGTTTACAACATGCCAGAAAATTGGCCGTTTGTCAGGAGACGAGGACCCAGTTGGTAATTTGGCTCTTTCTCTCAGAATAGTAAAAATATTCAAAGGTGATTTGAGGCTGGCATGCCCCAAATCAGACAGCAGATTTTCTCTCCTTGGCAAATTGAGACAAAAATGTCTGTCTGCTGCCTTCTTGGAGGAAGAATCAGCTAGGAACAAAAGCAGCTGTTTTTCATTCCTCATTCAGGTTTCACACTAACTGAGCCAGGTTCGTGTGTTAATTTCTAAAGAGAAGAGACACTACAGGGCACAACCTTGGCTCTGGTAAACAGGAGGAAAAATGAAAAATTGTTGAGACTGGACTTGGTTGCCATAGTAACACTTTGTACCTGCTTTCTGGAGACCAAACGTTTTTAACTTTGACACAGCTACAAATAGATCAAAGGCGAATGAATGCTCACAAGAATCATTTTAACTGAATTAAATCTAAGAAATATTTTTCTATGATTAAACACAAATATTTCAGTAATTATATTTCAAAATATAACTCAAACAATATATAAACTCAACAATCAACTTTGATTACATAGAATAATAAAAAGAAAAACACGTAATCGCTTTATTGTAAGACAATAGTTGACTAAACAAGTAGTATTGTAAAACATGTAAAGGGATAGTTCATCCATTTTCTCATGGTGTGTTTTTTCTTTTTTCTGAAAATAAATGCAAAGATTAATTCATTAGACAATTTTGATTTATAACATAATGATAACTTGTAGTTAAAAGAGAATATAAATCAAAAACATGAACATTATTATTTTGTTTATTAAAGAAAATAAAACAAATCTGTTACGATTCTGTCACTGTCTGCCCAGATCTTGTTCCAGTTTAGTTTTATCTTATTTCATGTTCCAGTTCATCCTCATAGTCTTGTTCCCAGCCTTTCAGCTCACATCCAGCTTCTGCTCATTGCTCTCGCCCATCCCGTCATAGAAACTCTAATCAAGCTCATTTCACTCACCTGTTTCCAGCAGTATACAACCCAGTCTCACTCTCCAGTTCACTGCCAGATTATCATCAGCCTCACCTATGATCTTCCAGCATTCTTGTCCCGCTCTTGGCTCATGTCCCCTGGTTTAACGTCTCCTGCCTCAGCCTGTCGGATCCCGCCTGCCATCTGCTCTCACGGTAATGACCTTTTTTCTGTCTCTTGGATTATTGTCACTCGCCTGCTCCCTGAATGGAAGTGCGCCACATCTGACCTCCTGGATCTCGACCCCTGAACGCATCTCTGGACCAACGACTCAGTCATCTCCTTCAAACCTGGTAACTTCCTCTGACCACCTGTGTATGACCCTTGCCCCGTTTCTGACCTCGAGTAAGTCCAGCGATTATTATCGCTCCTCTTGACAACACAGCCCGGAACCAAAACACATCAGGTGTTGTTTCAACTCGGACTTCAACTCAGCTGGAAAGGTTGGTGACTCTCTTTATTTTTACAAATAATACCGTGTTCAACCTAACCCAAAGCTTGTGTCCAGAACTGATGACCCCGGAGTCCGGTCCCAACCTTCCAGCCAAAATTACTAACAAACTTGTTAAAACTTTGACTTTGTTCTGCATTTATTCAGAGCTCAGACTACAAACATAACAAAACCTTTTTAAGAAAGGATTTTTTTTTCTTTTAAAAACCAGAGTCAAAGACAAGTGGAAATGTTTATTTCTCCTTTGGGGAACCCCTACGTGTGTGTGTGTGTGTGTGTGTGTGTGTGTGTGTAAGCCCGGTGTTGTCTGCAGACAGTGGCGAAGAGAAGGGAGCAGCTCAACATTACCTCAGGCTCTGAGACATAAATCAACTTTTAAGCTGCTGAGTTTTTGATTAAAAAAATTGTGAGATTTTCATCCGTTTTCATGATGCAAATGAGGACATTTTATGTAATTTTCAGATGATCAGTACATGGTGACATTAGTGTGAGAGTGAACTTATCTTAGCATTTTCACAGTTTTATCTTCACATTTCTCTGACAATATTCTTGAACATGAAATCCGAGGCAGTGATTGGTCCATGTCGGGGTTTTTTTTTTAACGTCATCCAGGATAAGCTTTGCGGCACAACCAGGTGCAAATCAGCTCTAAGACTGACACTTGGAGTAACTTACCCCAAAATTAACCTTTTTTAGCTGATAAACTGTCTAGAATGTGTCTAAATGTTATATAGTACTGTTTCTGTGCTAATTTTGATGTTTTTGTGCGTATTTGTTCAAATCTGTAATATTTGGTCTAAAAAATGTTTTTGCTGCTCATGGGTTGAGCAGTGGTACTGCAGGCTAATTTGCAAATTGGTTAATGGCTCTCCACGGTGACGTGTCTTCTCCACAGTTTCGTCACAGAGGCCGTGTTCTGATATAAAAGCCTCTCTCTAAGACATGCCCCTGGCAACAGTCAGAGGGTGGAACACTTAGCAGCATAGCATGATCGTCTGACCTTCAGCCTCTCTCTTTCTCTGTTTTTAAACTAGCAATCTTGTCAGCAGCTGCAGCTGTATGCTTTTATTTTTTTCGGTCAGGCTGTTGGGGCACAGCAGCTCTGCTGTCCGGGGCTAGTGTGGTGTGAGGCGGACAGAGCTCAGCCGAGGCTGCGGTAAAGCGCGTCGTGTCCTGATCCAGGGAGACAACACGAGTCAGTCCCAGACTGAGCTGACTTGATCAAGTCTCTCTCTCTGCCTCTGGTGAGGAGGGGGGTGAAAAATCCTCCACCTCAGACCAGACCAGAGATGTAACCATCTGCGTTGCTGTGGTCACTCTCCATGTAGCATCATTTATGCTAATGCTAGCTGTCACGTTCTCTTGTCCTGGCCACACCTCCGCGGGGAGGTAAGATACACTTTAAGAATTACTCCTACACTTCGCTTAAAGTAAGACGAGATGCTTGATAACTCACGTTTATTCAGCTTTTTAACTAAATTTTTTTTACACTTAAGTCCACTCTTAACAGTATTCTTAAGAATAATTCTAAGTTTTATAAATACGGGCCCTGGAAACCATTGCAATCCTTTTTAGATGGAACATAATTTCATCTGGAGATGGGGACTGGCTACTCTACTTTCTTGATTTTAATGTATTACTTAGTCTTTCGACAGTTGGTGACACTTTAATCTAAATCATATCTGGGAATGTCTGTATTGTGTACGTAGGCTAAGGAGCATTGAAGGGGGTGGATTTCTTGTGTTCTTTTGTTTTTATCTGTGTCCTTTAGCTGTTGTTGTTGCCTTTTGTGTTATGTATAAAATTTTGAAAATCAATAAAATGGAAAAAAAAACTTGTCTTAACTGTTTATTTTCTTAAATTATAAATGCTTAGTTCTATTTAAAAAGAGTATGAATAAAAATAAACAAACATTTTGCTTTAGTTTAACATTTCCTATAGAGAAAACCACTTTAATGGTTACAGAGAGGAAAAAAATGTACAAAGGCTAGTTAAGTCGACGATTTAGCACACTCCGCCACATCCAGCTTCCTGCCACTGCTGCACATTTTTGCCAAATTCTATAAGAAGCAGAAAACTCAGTTAGTACTCTTAGGTGGTCAATGTTTAAACTAAGGTTCTACAAAAAAAAAACACCTTACGTTTGCAGCTCTGATGATGCTGTTGGGAGATTGGAGGGCTGCCAGGTCTGTTAGGATCTTCTTCAGATCATTGCTGGAAGATTGTTCTGAAAGAAGTAAATAAATGGTCAATATCAAATGATGGTTAGCAAATATCAAACAGGTTTTGGGTTCATGTGTACCTGGCTTGGGTGATGGCTGGGGTTTCAGCTGGAGGTATGGATGTTCCAGCAGCTCTACAATCGAAATTCTTTCTCTGGGGTTTCGAACCAAGCACCTCTGGTGAGAGCATATAGAAAAATTTGTCATTTAAACAACTTCAAGAGAAAAATATCTAAAATGTGTGTCACAACAGCGTGGCATGTTTAGGTGTGCACTTGTTTCTGCTACTGAGTGAGGACCACTTGCAAAATAATTACTATCATAAGTGAGGTCTTTGGTGCAAAGGACCTCTTTCCGGTCCTAACTTTTTTGCAACTTTACTGTGCTCTGCTAGTTAGGTTTAGGTATGGTGCAAATTAAGTTCAGCTTTAGGTTAGGGTTAGGAATAGACCAGTAATGGTTAGTGTTAGGGAAAATGTCTGGGTTAGGCATAAATGCAGTTACAAATATGAATGGAAGTCAATACAAAGTCCTCAGTTTTGATGCAAGTACAAGGATTTGTGTGTGTACTTGTTTTTGTTACCTATTTAGGACAGTTTCCAGTATACACATCTACCCTGTCAAGACCAGTAGTCCTAATGGGGACCAAAGACAGTTCCTAATATGGTGGAACTCCATTTTTGGGTTGGGGGTACAATTTAGGACTTAAGTGTGAATTGAGTTTACGTTAGGTTTAGGGTCAGGCATGTACCTATGAGGTTATCTTTAGGGTTGGTGGTCAGGTTTAGGCTGTAGAAATTACTGGAAATGAATGGAAATCAATGAATGATCTTAAGGCTAGAAATACAAACTTGTGTTTGTGTGTAAAACTTTATTATCACCCATGGCTGAACCACTGGACAGATTTGATAGTAACTCTTAGAGTGTAATCAGATGAATATCTACAAACTGATTAACGTTTGGAGTTAATCCCACTTAAGATGACTGCAACATCTAAGTGACATTAACAAACGGTAAAAGCCAATATCACAGATATTGAGTTCAAAGTTGATGTGATAGTAGCTGAGAGACCTCTTCAATACATAATCACAGCATGACATTGTATCTTTGCTTAAAACATTAGCACCAACTCTTTAGAGTCAACACCGTCTGTTAGCAAAGTTTCTCAAACTACTGGACAGATTTAATGAAACCATACTTAAATAACCAGTGGATGTACATCTGCAACGGACTGACACCTGGATTTAACCCAAATATTCTACTTTAGCAAACAAAAAAAATTGGAAAAAAAAAAAATCAAAATCCAGAAAAGGAACAACTGGACTGCAGCTCTGTAGATGAAGACATTTCAGGGAGTTCCAAGATTTTAAATTGTATGAGTAAACTATGTAACCAAGTTTCTCATACCCACATAGCAAAATATGTCGAGCTCAGTTCTGGCTCACACAATGCAACAGTCAGCCTAGATACCACAAAGAAGGATGGTGTAGTAGGATTATGTTAGCAAAGTATAATCATATAAGCAAAAAGGCAATCAGTAGAGTAATTAGTATTGAGTAGTCAATAGATGTGTGATTTATATCAAAATTATCAATAATCTGAAGAAATTTGTGTTGTTAAATTTACTGATTTATAAAAACACACCATTTTATAGTTTTCCATAACTAGTTTCTATCAACTATTGTGTGATTATTGTTGTGTCTTTCTTAAAATAGTTTTAGTTACATGTCTGGAGCACCATGACAACACATAGATACCGTTGAATTAATCATTAGGAAAGTTTATGCTGTCTGAGTATCTACTTTCAGTTGCAGGCATGTGTGATGGGTGGAACCGGATGCTGAAGACAATGATAAAACTTTTTGTATTTCCGGATGTTGTTCTGGACGCTGCTGATGCTCTGGCTTGAAGCATTAAAATCACCGTTCAGACCCAGTACTGGAGTGGATGTATGGTCTAATCTCTTCATATTTTAATCATTTTAACATTCATGTGGTTTCTGCCTGGTTAAGTCACAATTTCAGTAAAATAATTTTCTTACAAATCATTAAGATGTGTGACTTAGAAGCTTGATTTAGTAAAATACGATGTTGTAAACATGGAATACATGCCGAATGACCTGTAGGAGCAACTCCAACATGGTGGTGTGCAAGCAGAAGGCAGGGGGATGCATCAGCTCATTAAGCTCTATGAAGGGGAGGCAAAAACACCAGTATCTGGAAAGCAGTTCTGTATACGAGGTAGACTATATTAGGGATTATATACAGTGGTTTGCAAAAGTATTCATACCCCTTGAACTTTTCCATATTTTGTCACATTACAACCACAAACATAAATATATTTCACTGGAAT